AGCGGTAGGCACTTGATGTTCTTTTAAGTTTCCTAGCAGAAAATCTGCGACATTGAGAAGCAAAACAGAACATTTCTCGATAGTATAATACCGCTCATAATTCGTCAAAAAAGTCGCCGGACTGCGGCGCACTCCGCCACACTCCGCCGCAGTGTGCCGGAGTGTGGCAGAGTGCGCCGGAGTGCGGCAGAGTGTGCCACACTCCGCCGCAGTGCGCCGGAATGATCGTCAATTTAGTCATATCTCGCTTCAGAATGGACGAATTCTGAATCCGAGGACACAGTTCGATTCACCTCGGCGAGACGCATCATCTCGCATATGAAGCTGAACGTCTGTTTGTCTGTTTGTCTGTACGTATGTTCCGAATAGAAAATTCCATTCCTGAACCGATCCGGACCAAACTCGGCACACATACATTTCGGGCCCCGGCGGGTGTCACTTTTCGTCATCGATCGATATCGTTTTCGATTTTTATCGATTTTTTAGCAAAGTTCACCTACGGGGTTGGGAGTTGGCACAGGGGGAGGGTAAGTGAGCATGGGGATTCCGAATACAGTATTAGTTTTCAGAATTATCGATTATCATTTTGGTTAAATTCAATGTGCTGATAACAGTATTATTACCATTGATCTGTCGCTGATAACACATAGGCCCCGGTCAGACTTCACGCGACTCAATCGTCGCGATCTAATCACCAAGATTTCCATTCATTTTCATTTCACATTCAAAAATGTCGGGCTGGAAAAGTATCACAACCGAATGCAAGTTGATCGGCATGGAATGATGTTGTGACAGTTGTCTCGTCGCGACTCAGTCGCGACGATCAAATCGCGTGAAGTCTGCCCGGGGCCATAGACAGTATACTACAGGAGTATGGTAGAGAGCCACTAAGATCGAATTTGTTCTAAGATCTGCTCAAGATCACAATACCGCCCACAAAATGTCAAAATTTCCGTGAACTTCGCGGAATTCCGGGATTTCCGCCAGAGTGCGCGATAATCTGGGAAGTTCGCGACATTTCAGGATCCGCGAAACCATGCGAATCACGCAGAGTACGCAACGCCATAACTTCCTTCGGAATGAATATATTCCGAATCGAGAAGCAGCATTGTGTTCAGACCGTCGAGGCAATTATTTTGATATACAGTACGCTCTCGATATTCCATTCCCAGTTTTTTCGAATTTTTCCTGTGGAGGTCCTTTGCAAGGATGTAACGCAGCGTCTGTGTAACATAAAAGATTCCAGTAAGCACTGTTTGATAGTACTGTCCTTGTAGGTTATCGTGCGTTCAAGAGTAGCTGCAGGCTGTCTTTCAAAAGAGATAGAAGCGTTGGCGAACTTTGGAAAAATCACGCGTTTCTAAATTCTACTCGCTGTAACTTCCTTCGGAATTAACATATTCTGATTCCGAAGAAAGCTTTGTGCTCAGTTCATTAAGGCAAGTCTTTCGATATACAGCGTATCCTTGATATTCCTATTTTAATATTCTCAAATCTTTCTGTAGACGTCTTTTCGCGAATGTTTAAAGCAGCGCGCTTTGCCCCTAGTAGACTCCAGCAAGGACCTTTCGATAGTAATTTTTCTGTAGATTGCGTAGCGCTAAAAAGTAGTCACAGGCATCTTTCCAATGGAGGTAAAGGCTGGTAATCGTAAAAAAATCTTGTTGTCCCAAATTCTACTCGTCGCAACCCTAGAATACGAGGCTATCTTGCTAAGCAGATGTGAGTTTTGTAATCACCAGGTCAGATAACCCTTATGAACAAGTTTTCCGAGATGTTCGGGTGATTTCATTTTTTCTTATCTGACGTTCTGAAGCTGGCCGGTGGATTTTGGTCAAAATGTTGATGATCTTCAATTGTAAAGAAACGCCGCTCATAGAGGTTCGAACACGCCGCTTATAAAAATCGTGCTCTCTGTCAAGTATAGGGTCTTTTTGCAGAGGTATGGTGAGATGCCTGCAACGGATTCACGAAGGCTCGTAACTTCGCCTCCACCTCTCACGTATCTGTCAAAAAACCTGCCTGCTTGCTTTTCTAGTCAAAGTTACTAGGAGATGTGCTATCGAATGGCGCTTGACTCAGGCTCCATTCTATAAAATTCGCCGAGTTACGAGCCTACGAAAACACACATGAATTTTGCCCAAAACTTAAAGATCGCATATTTCGTCGAAATTCCACTAAGTGCTTGTATAACACTCGCATTGCGGATATTGTGTTCACTTTGCCCAAAAACTCTCACTGTAATGAATATGGTGCTTGCGTGTGCTTCAGCTGCTCAGTTGAATATCAAAGCTATTTCGGTGGGTAGAACTCAAACTACCAAATCTAACACAATGAGATCCATTATCGATGTGAAAAGATTTGATCAACGTGTTGCAAGCATTCACGGTGGAATTTCGACGAAATATGCGATCTTTACATCTTGGGCAAAATTCATGAGAACGTGTATTCCTAGGCTCGTAACTCGGCGAATTTTATAGAATGGAGCCTGAGTCATGCGCCATTCGATAGCACATCTCCTAGTAACTTTGACTAGAAAAGCAAGCATACAGGTTTTTTGACAGATACGTGAGAGGTGGAGGCGAAGTTACGAGCCTTCGTGAATCCGTTACAGGCATCTCACCATATCTCTGCAAAAAGACCCTATACTTGACAGAGAGCACGATTTTTGTAAACGGCGTGTTCGAAGCTCTATGAGCGGCGTTTCTTTACAATTGAAGGTCATCAACATTTTGACCAAAATCCACCGGCCAGCTTCAGAGCGTCAGATAAGAAAAAATGAAATCACCCGAACATCTCGGAAAACTTGTTCATAAGGGTTATCTGACCTGGTGATTACAAAACTCACATCTGCTTAGCAAGATAGCCTCGTATTTTAGGGTTGCGACGAGTAGAATTTGGGACAACAAGATTTTTTTTACGATTACTAGCCTTCACCTCCATTGGAAAGATGCCTGTGACTATATTTTGCGCTACGTAATCTACAGAAAAATTACTATCGAAAGGTCCTTGCTGGAGTCTACTAGGGGCAAAGCGCGCTGCTTTAAACCTTCGTGAAAAGACGTCTACAGAAAGACTTGAGAATATTAAAATAGGAATATCAAGGATACGCTGTATATCGAAAGACTTGCCTTAATGAACTGAGCACAAAGCTTTCTTCGGAATCAGAATATGTTAATTCCGAAGGAAGTTACTGCGAGTAGAATTTAGAAACGCGTGATTTTTCCAAAATTCGCCAACGCTTCTATCTCTTTTGAAAGACAGCCTGCAGCTACTCTTGAACGCACGATAACCTACAAGGACAGTACTATCAAACAGTGCTTACTGGAATCTTTTATGTTACACAGACGCTGCGTTACATCCTTGCAAAGGACCTCCACAGGAAAAATTCGAAAAACTGGGAATGGAATATCGAGAGCATACTGTATATCAAAATATTTAATATAATATAAACGGTCTGAACACAATGCTGCTTCTCGATTCGAAATATATTCATTCCGAAGGAAGTTATGGCGTTGCGTACTCTGCGTGATTCGCATGGTTTCGCGGATCCTGAAATGTCGCGAACTTCCCAGATTATCGCGCACTCTGGCGGAAATCCCGGAATTCTGCGAAGTTCACGGAAATTTTGACATTTTGTGGGCGTTATCGTGATCTTGAGCAGATCTTAGAACAAATTCGATCAGAGTGGCTCTCTACCATACTCCTGTAGTATACTGTCTATGTGTCATCAGCGACAGATCAATGGTAATACTGCCATCAGCACATTGAATTTAACATGATAATCGATAATTCTGAAAACTAGTATTGTATTCGGAATCCCCATGCTCACTTACCCTCCCCTGTGCCAACTCCCAACCCCGTACTCAGATAATTGCCGGGGGCAGGCGGGCACCGGAAAAATAGATTGCTGATTTCTCGCACCCCGCTCGCGGATTTTTCGGAAAGCAATCAGGACTTTTCGGATAACCGCTTGCTGAGTTCTCATTCCTCAGAGATTCAGCAATATATCTGCAAAAGATAAGAGCGAAAAAAAATTCAACAGGCGGTCTCTCAAAAATCCGCTGACTCAGCAAGCGGTCTTCCAAAAAGTCCTGATTGCTTTCCAAAAAATCCGCGAGCGGGGTGCGAGAGATCAGCAATCTATTTTTCCGGTGCCCGCCTGCCCCCGGCGATTGCCTGAGTAGGTGAACTCTGCAAAAAAATCAATAAAAATCGATTAAAGTATTCCATAACTTGCAAACTAATATTGTATTCGGAATCCCCATGCTCACTTACCGCCCCTGTGCGAACTCCCGGCCCGTAAATGAACTCTGCTAAAAAATCGATAAAAATCGAAAACGATATCGATCGATGACGAAAAGTAGCCTATGACACCCGCCGGGGCCCGAAATGTATGTGTGCCGAGTTTGGTCCGGATCGGTTCAGAAATGGAATTTTCTATTCGGAACATACGTACAGACAAACAGACAAACAGACGTTCAGCTTCATACGCGAGATGATGCGTCTCGCCGAGCTGAATCGAACGGTGTCCTCGGATTCAGAATTCGTCCATTCTGAAGCGAGATATGACTAAATTGACGATCATTCCGGCGCACTGCGGCGGAGTGTGGCGGAGTGCGCCGCAGTGCCGCAGTGCAGAGAGCGGTATTATATTGATACTATGGTATTAATACTTTGTTTTCGCATTTGCAGGGCTTTAAATTACGGAGGGATGGGAGCAGTTATTGGGCATGAAATTACACATGGTTTTGATGATAAAGGTATGTCTTGCTCTTCAAAAAAAACTAAGACTTTTTATTACTAGTTGCTCTGCACACTTTGAATTCTGACACCTTTGACAAATCATTTTAGAACGACAGTTTGACGCAAATGGTAGTCTTCGCGAGTGGGACGAGGCGTAAAGAGAAATTTTCAGAATCGAGCTTAGTGCATAATCAATCAGTACGGGAATATTGAAGTTTGCAGCGCTCTACAACAAGTTGTCCTGTTATTGGCGAATGTCATTTGAGGTACCCGGCATTGGTCTTAAAATCAACGGTAAACTGACGCAAGGAGAAAATATTGCCGACAATGGTGGAGTGAAACAGCCTACAGGGTAACACCGTAGATCAGTCTTTTACCGCGCCTCAAATGCATCTATTTAGGCTTACAAAGCTTACCTGGAAAAGCATGGTGGAGAAGAAGAGAGAATCAACGGCATGGAACGATATAACAACGAGCAGATGTTCTTCTTAGGCTATGCTACGGTAACACTTACTCGACGTTGTCGCATGACCACAGCCCCACTTTAGATGTGGTGTGGGCATTTCACAAATGACAAGCTGATTAACAGAGTTCTTATTGACCCTCACGCTCCTCAGCGTCATCGGTAAATGAAGTTAGAATATATACGAAGTCACAAATCCACGACTCTTGCAGGGTTAATCAGATGCTAGCCAATCAATCCGAATTTGCTGCTGCTTTCGAATGTGAGGAGGGCAGTGCCATGAATCCCACTGAACGCTGCGCTGTCTGGTGAAGTAGTGGTATTATATATATAAATACTGTGCTCGTGTACTATACATAGCCTCTATCTGCATTACGAATGCATGGATCTTCTCAATGAAAAGTGAGCATGGTCAGAATTGTTATTTCACCTACTTTTCTATGAGAAGAAATCAAAGACTGTGTTAGGTAAACTTACTAGCTATAATGATCTTCCTTTCATTTTTCCTTCATACTGTAACTGTAGATGTGTCTCCTATCCCGAGACTGTGGTGCTGAATTGAAATTCAAAATGGTATGTTGTGCGTAACTGCTAACCTAATTTTGTATAAAGAAATGACATTAGATGAGTGGCAAAGCGTCAAAATAAGTATACATTTTCTAGTCCCTAGTTCTCCCACAGAATCTTTTGTTATGCTCCAAGTACCATTCAGTAGAGTAACCTTTACAAAGATATAGGTACGTAGCCAATTATCAGGCTCTGCACGATAGTACGCTAGGAACTTCCGCGGCGTCTTTGTGAGCTCAATTTTAGAGAAATTCTCCAAAAAATCCGGATTGTATAGTGTGTTCTTAGAGCTGACTTCATTAGACAGGCTTTCACGAGTTTTCAAATATTTTAAATGTTTTGATCACATTGTCTAAAAATGCTAAAAAGTTTGTTACGGTTTATTTGGCACTAGCTGGCTTTCCCGGTCCAGTTCGGGCCACCGTTCAGAAGAATGGTCACACCACACTTTGTCTCTCCTCTCTCCTTTTTTCGGTCTGGCCATACCCTATTTGCAGTCTCGATACTGCACTGAAGCCCCCTTCCCCTTACCCTCCTGCCTGAGCTTACCTCAAAGTGACTGATTGGAGTAACTGCATCTTCTACACTTCAGACTGAAAATGAACTTTACTGCATTGTCTTCCAAAATGTGCATGGGGTTTGAGGGTGGCTGATAAGCATCATTTACATTGCAAAGTGCCGAAAATTAATAAATCAATAGAAGGATCCAGCTATTCGCTTCAAATATATATATGACTCATGAGAAAAGCCCTAAAGGCAGTAACTCGGCAGAACTTCGTTTTCCAGTGGCCGTATTCATCATTGATACCTTGAGGTTCTATCTCCAGGTAGTTTTATTACTCATTATCAGCAAAATTACATTGAGGATTTACCTCAAGGTACTTTGTGAATACGGGTACTTGCTGATAATGAGTGATAAAACTACCTGGAGGTAGAATTCACCTCAAGGTATCAAAGATGAATACGGCCACAGTTTTTCACCTTTTCGGAGTTTTCTCGCTGAGGAATCCATATCTGGGCTTTTTAGTTAAATGGCAAAAATAAGCCTTTTCCTTTCTAAGTCCGCATTCAGTGAAGATACCGGAGAAAGCCGCGCCTCGCATTCCTCTTTCCATGCCCCGCCTCCACAATGGACCTGAAAAGCTTCAAAAAAGCTCATTTTCGCCATTTACATGCGCTGAAAGGTCAAAATATGGGTTTTTAAGGCGAAAAGGCTCCAAAAGTTTAAAAATATGGGAAACGAAATCCTACCGAGGCACTGCTTCAAGGTAAAACGAAAAGGTTATGTTCATAATCAGCGACTCAGTTCAAACCTGATGACAAAATTTTCGGCTCGTTGATTAATTTGTCGGAGGCAATATGTAGCCATTAATGACTCAAACTCTCATCAAAGTCTCTACAATCTTTCATTAATGAAGAGCAGTGGATAAATTAGATGCATACTGCATATCTGAGTTGGAGCACGCTCCACCGAACGGTACTTGAAGACTTGGGAAACATTTCAACTTGCAGAGGCCATTTGACGGAACAAAATGCATATAATTAGATACGCCTTGTCAAGCTGACTTTGAATCTATCTTCCGTATCTGCTGCGCGGTTCACCAAAAGAAATCATAAGCGTTTGAAGGTCCGAGTTTGACAAACATTCAGTGCAACAAATCAGTTCAAATGCACCTTAATTGTGCACACACAAGCTGATTTTCAAAGCACATTACGCATTTGAAGCCAAATGACTTCACACTTTAATCTCTCATAACTTTTTCCAGAAAGCGCAGCTGACCTAGAAAATAGATTGGGAATCAGGTCAACAATGCCATTCTAATAAGTTACATATCTTTCCAGATCGCCATGGCGAGTTGAGATCCTTTCCTTGGAAGCAGAAGACTATCTGAAGAGAACTACAATAATAAGTGGTACTTACATTCATGAAAACCTGCATTAGCATATCGCCACTGCACTTAAACAGTGTAGCAACAAGTGTCTGCTCATTATCATTTGTCTATATCGTCACAAACAAAAGAACGAGGAGCAGGGTTTGCACGATTAGAACCGACTTGGAGGACGCTCCTAGAGCAAAAGACAAGTGAAAGGGAGGAGGAAAATTGTATAGCTTTGCGACAAATATGAGAAACAATCGCGTGCATATCAGTACCAAGTATAACGGTATTATTGGCTCTGAAATTGTAGCACAGCTCATTCAAGAATCTCAGTAAATAGCGTTTTCTTCTTATGTGATAACCGCTCAAGATAGAGGCAGATTATTCTCACATCAGTTGCTTTGAGTTTCATACGAAACATAGAACTGATAAGATTGCGATAATTTCTTTATCAAAGGCTTTCCGATTTAACGATAGAAGAACTTTGATGAAGTAAGATCGGATCCAGATTTGCGGTCATCTTTGAACGAAAAGTATCTTTGCACAAAGCCTTTAACACGTTGACGACAATGCCGCGCAATGGTGCGCGGCAGGCAGTCTGTCCCTGTGGACGACGCCGCGCAATGGTGCGCGGCGGCCTTAATTTCAATAATATCTGTCCAATCCTCTCAGTTTTTGTTTATATAACCAACATAGGCTCAGATGTATCTATGTGATTAGCCCCGCCCCTTTTTGGCAAACTCCGCCCACTTCTATATCCCTCACAGGGACCCTTTTTGTACATAAAAAGCATGGATGAGGCCGTAGATGAACGCAAAGACCTCAAGTAACTTTTATACGGGCCCCGCCCACCGTCAGACAAACTCCGCCCCCTGATTGGCAAGCTCCGCCCACTTTTCAAAAATGCCGGAATTTGCACGAATTCATTGATTTTGAGCGATTTCCAGCATTTTTGAAAAGTGGGCGGGGCTTGCCAAAAGTGGGCGGAGTTTCCCCGCCCACTTGCATTTTTGTATCTCACGCATAGATGCATGCATACATATATGCAGCCGGCTGTGAAAATGCCCGGAAACGGTTCGTCCACAGGGACAGACCTTCAAAAAATGGCTCGTCGTCAACGTGTTAAATAACCTTCTTGGCCGAACTACTGGTCACATATTGTACAGTTTTTTGAAATCTGTTGCGGTTGCTGTTTTGAACATTACAATCCACCGCTGGATTTCTGATGATAGGGAAAACATTTTCTACCATGGGAAAATCAAAATGAAAGTCTTGGTCGCAGATTATTAGTGTTTAGAGGAATTGATAATAACTTTGGGGAATCAACAAAAACAACATGTTTATGTGTTACGAGGTAGACTTTCGTGTTTTTGTTCCGTTTGTAGCAGCTTATAGAGAAAGAGAGCTAGAGTACTGTAAAAGTATAGCAGTCAGCTTACAAGGGAAGTTCACTTATTCGGTGTGGCGATTCGGAAGAAGATCATACCAGTAGATAGAGCTTAAAAAGCTAATCTTAGATATACCTTTTGTATCTGCGATGCGTTGTTGTGAAAAAAGTTATGAGCTTTTCTAAAGCCAAATTTTAGTGCATTTTGAGTCGCAAAATTATGATAATCGCTACACAAAAGTGTGCAAGCTTAAGCAAACCACCTATTGAGCATTGTAGGTCTCATTCGAGTTATCCGAACGTTTTCGAGCGTTTTCCGACCATGTTGTTTATACACAGGCCGTCATTTCCTTCCTATATCATACTCCCCCTATATATACAAAAAGCCCATAACCTCTGTCTAAAAGAACGCGTCGCAGATATTGAAGTCACGTTTGAGAACATCGTTTTATGTTCTATCCACTGGTAGTTTCCAAAAAGTTTCCGACGCGACGCGTTTTTCTAGATGGAGGTTATGGGCTTTTTTGTATATACAGGGTGTCCCAAAAGTATGTATACACTGTTTGATCGTTAATATCTCTCTTCCCAAGAAGTCTTTCGCTTTGCTTCAGTTACCATTTTGTAGAGCTGGCTTCAACTTAGATCCTCGTTATAGAACAAATCACCTATATTTCTTCGTTACTGTAGGATTACGGTAGAAACTTCAAAGAGGGTTTTGAGCCATGAAAGGCCACATTTATCCTTAGAAAGGAGACAAAACAGCCTAAAAACTCTTACGCTAGGCTAATTAGAGTTGCTGATTTCAAATGTAAAGTTTCCAACTTATTTTGATGCTTCATTGAAGAGTTATGCCAGGAAAGAGGTAGCTGCCATTTTTTCAATGCTCCTAAAAGTGCGGCTACACCGTTTAGAGAGCTTCGCAATCTTATGAATAGTTAAGTATTAAACTCAGCGTCCATAAAAACCTATTACACAAGTTTTCACATTTTTTTAAAATCTCGAAATGGCAGCTTTTTTCCACATTAACACCATATGTTTCAAGTTCCTACCGTAATCCTACAGTAATAAAGAGTGGTCGGTGATTCTTTTGATACTGTGATTCTAAGCTGAAGCCAGATCTACAAAATGGTACCTAAAAAGGCGAAAGACTTCTTGGGAAGAGAGATATTAACGATCAAACAGTGCATGCATACTTTTGGGACACCCTGTATAATGGAAGTGTGATCTAAGAATGAAATGACGACCTGAGGATGAACAACATGGTCGAAAAACACTCGAAAACGTTCGGATGAACTGAAAATAGACCTAAAATGCTTATTAGATGGTTTGCTTAATTGCACACCTTTGCGTAGCGACCATAATGATTTTGCGACTCAAAATGCACGAAAATTTGGCTTTAGAAAAGCTCATAACTTTTTTCAGAACGAGCATCGCAGATATAGAAGGTATATCTGAGATCAGCTTTTTGAGCTCTATCTACT